TTAAGGGAAAGTAATGTAGCGGCAGTTATCCCCCACCACACTGAGTGACCGAAATGTCCCGAAAATGATTACTAACTAAGGCGTCTGCATTTGTGTGTATATATATATAGATGTAAATAAATATAATATACGTTAGAACTTTATTTTACAACCCGAATATGGAGTATAATGAGTGTATTGCCTGGCATCCATTCGTCTTCGGAGGTAGGAAATCCAAGATGCAGTATATTCCGGACGAGAGCATAATGGGCCATAAAAATTGTCAACAGACCCTTCCACAATATTACTCGGCCTGTGGCTGCGGTTTGTTACACCTGAAACAATTATGAACAGTTCTACCCTTAAACTGTTATAAACAGTTCTACCCTAAAACAGTTCCTGACATTTCTATCTTTAGAACAGTTTTAGATAGCTCTTCCTTTTTCTTACAGTGTATTGTATGAAATTTTTTCAAACATTTATACACTCATATTATTCAAAAACAATATTGGGATGAATTTTATAGTGTTGTGTTTTGTTTTGTTTTTTTTGTTGTTTTTTTTTTTTATCTTTATGAACTCTTGTTATCAATGCGATCTGAATATACACAGTAATAATATCAAAGCACTCCCCGAGAAAAAAATGTGTTCACTGTGTTATCATTATTTGTTATATCTGAGAAAAAACAACCCCAAAGTGCTCCTCGCCCGGTATATTGGTCATTCTAAGGTTGTGGAGAATACTATCATATCGTATTTCTTGTGTATTTGATATTATTCTTGTTACTCCCCTTTAAGGTATGATTTTTACATCAATACGTTCATCATTATTAATCTCAAATTTTGAATTTGATATATAAATGATAAAAGTAAATTAATGATTTCTTGGAAATTATGTCAAAGTCAAGGTAAGTTCTTTTGCTGCTGGTTCAAGATTATATTGTCTGTTACAAAGATTGTACAACAACTCCATTTGAAAATCCGCATCTGTATCGGTAACAATTCCCCCCTCGGATGGTACATATTCTTTGCTGTCACACAATTTTCATCGAATTTATTTTAAGTTAAGTCAAGCCCTCGAATTTGTTTGATAGCGTTTGTTAGGTACGGAGGGTTGTGAATTTTATTGCTCTGAATCATAGTGCTATGTACAAATCAAACCTCGTCCCATCTAACCTCAATCAGAACTATTATGTGATTCCAAAACACAATGTCTTGAATTATTTGATAGGATTTCTTCATTTAATATGTTTATTTATCCTAAAAATCATCCCGTGGATTCCTTTTCCCAAATAGGCTTCGGTCGATTTAGATTATTTGTTTTTCACTTTACCAATTCTTTCAATACGTTCAAGTATGCCTACTAGTGATATTGGAAAGCATTTCCATCTCATACAATTAAAAATCAATTCCATAGTTAAAACTAGTTCTAGTCAATTTTGATTTCTGAAAAATTACAATTGAAATCTTCATTATGTTTGTATGTCGACGAAAATCTATTGATATCATATCAAATGTTGCTATGAAAAGCATATGATGGGAATTATTGGAGGAATAAAACGTTAAATGAAATTGTTTGCATATTCCCTTCACTAGACATCAGATTAAGTGTGTATATTCAAACATGCTTTGCATTGTGTACAATTTTAACCTTTGAAAGTTAAAATTAGGCAAAGGATAGTATCAAAGACACATCACTTCATTTTTCATCATAAACATGTGTAGCCAAATTGTTTTGTGAGTAGCTAAATCAAAGTGGGTTGTACGACGAGTAAATTGAATAAAAGTACATATCATAAGGCGACATCTAAAATTTTTATTTAAGAACAGTATCGGACAGACAATATTAAGGCATAAAAGAAGTAATAAAATCAATTAAACAATTTGTATAAAAACTTGAGTTTTTTAAACATCTTACTGGGGTTAATTGAAGTACATTATGAAATACAAATTACATTCCACATTATTTATGTCACAGTTTCTGACCATTTTTTTACGCAACTGTAATAATATGAACCGTAGACCATCCCGTCCTCTTTTTGCCGAATGTGACCTACCGAATTAGACTAATCACCTGATTTGTACTTATACAAGCAACACGACTGTTGCTGCATGTTGAGTAGGATCTGTTTATCCCGATTTCACACCCGTCTTTGGAAGGGGCTCGTGTTGCTCAGTCTTCAGTTTTCTATGTTACGTTTTGTATACTGTTGTTTGTCTTTTTGGTCCTTTTCTTTTTTCCCATTGCGTATTCAGATTTGTTTTATTCGACTTATTAGTTAAAATGTCCCTTCAGTATCTTTTTCCTCTTTTAGAATATTTACTAACACGATCAATATTGGGTCTGGACCTGCAATTGAACGAGATAAAATGTATACTGGAGCAAAACTGATCCTTTCCTGTCCATAGAAGCCATGAATAGTGGTGTAATACCACCAAATCATAGTACGTCACATTCGGTTGCATACAATAATAGGTCGAAAAAAAATATTCCCTTGAATTTGACAGTTGTAGGTAATTGATCCTACAATTCATTGCAGTAAAATATTTCTGGGTCATAAACATATATCTTGGGTATTTCAAAGCACCATTTTTTTTTATTTGGGGTTTCTATAGAATATTTTGGAAACTTGAGGTTACATGGTTACTAAAGCGTGTACACAGGTTAAAAAGGGGGTTAAAATTTGATTGGTTAACTTCCAGTGATTGTTATTTTCTTATATGCAATGAAATTTTATGTGAATTTTTTTATATAGTACTGGACAGGATAAAACTTTACTCATGCCAAGTATTTCTTTATTTGAAACAAAGATTAATTCTGCACAATTTTTTGAAAAGTGCAAATTTTACAAAGACTAATAGGGGAAAATCAATGGTGGTATTACACCTAAACAAATATTTTTATTGTACAGCGAGTTTTGAAAAAATTCAAACTATTGGCACACAGGAAGTGATTGCGCTGATATGAAAAAAAAAATGCTTCCACGCTACAATTCAAGCAGATGACCAAATATAACATCATTCCCTTCCATAAAAGCCAAGAGAATTTGATGAAAGTTTCTTACCAGAGATCTTTCGGACGGGTGGTCGTATTGAGTAAGCTGTTACTAGACCTGCTATTGGCGATGCAGGTAAATATATTATTAATACAACTGGTCATTTTAATCCCCTCATCGGATAAATTCTTATATCAAAACTCTCTTTACTTCTTTTGGTCATCAATTCGTCAGTCAATATTATGGTTGAAAGGGATTTGTAACATAGAAATTAAGCGGAAACAAAACTTTTTAAATGTAGAGGATTTTGCAAAATCCAATTTTCTATTTTTTACATAGTACAAAGGACAACTCTTACCAGAAATGTAGCGTTTACGAACTTGAAATTCATGCGTGTAAGTTCAGTTCCGGTCATCTTCCCGATTTTTTATAGAATTGGTTTGTTCACTATATGATAAATAAAAAAACAAGCACGCCGATTAAAAAAAATGATTTTTTTTTATTGACAATATATGTGTAACGTTTGGAGGGCGTGGTTTTTTTTTTAAACCAAACTTCGGCATTTATTTGTATAAATTCAAGTAACACCTGCATATGAAGTATATACATCACACATGTTACGATATTTAAGAGTTTGTGTTTTCTATCATAATTTCATTAATAGCGAGTTGTGCTTACAAGCTAGGAAACTTTTGAACCGAGGGTTATAAGTAGAAAAGTTGAAGTCATTTCTTCAAACGTTTTACGGGCGCCATCATGATTTGGTTAACCGTTATGGAATATTTGATGACACCTGATATGTTCCTCATTCATCTTTTCCTCGATTGTGACATCACTTAATGAGACTTAATATCAAACATGTGCTTGCCATGAGCAACACGATGGTTGATCTACTTTGCAAAACCTATTTGAAATATTTATTATGTTGTTTCTTAGCGCTATATGCCTGGAATATTCAGCTAAATGTTTAGCATTGAATAGACCAATTCTTCTAAACCAGCGCTCTAATCATGAGAGAGTAATTCGGTATAGTCCAACAAAATAAGAAGGTAGATATATTTTGTCCTTGTTTATCTGTAAATGTTAATGATTAAAATAAAGAAGGTGTTGTAAATTAAGATTCAAGATGAAAGGGAGTGAATATTAGGTAAATAAGCTCTTTATAGGTAAATATTTGAGGAGAAAAATGAATAAGGGAACAATATACGATGTTGGTTTTGAGCATCACTAAAGGGAAATTAATACCAATTATCTGTATCCATCAACCCAAGTTGGGTACGGATGGTCAACAATTATGTTTAAACTTTCTGACAACAAACATTGAGATAAAATATCAAAAAAAGAATGTTATGTCACACTTTATGTTGTTTGGTTACCAAGGCAACAGAGATTAAATTTAAGCAAAAAACAAACTATTTTGGGGATTCTCTGCTTAGTCACTTATACATGTATATGATATCATATGTTTGTTAAAGTTCATATCATTTTTAAATCTCTTAATTTACACCAAATGTTTCATCCATCTAGGTAAACAGTATGAATTTGGGCATATGTTTAGGCAATTATGTTCACTGAATAAAAAAAAACGTTTCAATCTGTCTTAAATGTATTCTATTCAGCTCTCTGTAAAAAAAAAGCAATCGAGAAAAAAACTTAACGCCTACATAAAACAGTATATCTCGTCGGTGATTTCAAGTTTAATAACATCAATGCAAGTGTATTTTGATATTAAACATTGTATCTGCTCTTCAGTGCATTTTGAATAAAAAAATATTGTTTGCTGTAATGACTCATCAGGGTGTTGCTGTGGGTTATAGTGTTGGTACAGTTATTAATAAATAGGTTCGTAAATATCTGTCATTCAGACATATTTTCTTTACTAAATATTCATAATACTTGTAAAAATTAACTGCCTCGAAACAAAGTTGTAATCTTTGATTAAAGTCAAATCAGTCTATAATTTAAACATTTTAATATCTTGTTTAAAACCATATCCTTTTCTATTGATTTCTTTTTTGTTTTTCAGGTAAAGATCTGCCAGCAAGCCATACTGTAGACTATAATAAAATAATTGATTACTATGAAATCGATTGCTCTGATCTATTTACCGGCAGGTGATTTCAATTGAATTACTCGGCACATCAATAGTGTTTTAATATTGCTTCCAATAAATATAAAAATACATGTGGGTGAAGTTTTCCACCTTCTCTAACATGATAATTAGTTGATAGGTAAGTTGATACTTTTTTACATAACTTCTATTGCCGCATGATATTCTTCATATTCTTTACTTGATGCATGTTCCATAATGATTGTTTCATTTATTGATTGTTACTCTGACGTACAATGACAAATATTTTACGCACATTATGTACTCGCAGAATGATAAATGCTACCTCCTCCAAAAAAAGAGACAGGCCGGGAACCAGTTCCTGGATTAAAAAAATATATATCCGGGGTTGGGTTTCAAGGAGCAAGTGAAGTAGGACCTAGATCCCTTTAAATTACATGTATTCATGTCAGTGCAACATGTTTTATTTTTTTATTTAATTCGTGGCATTTCTAAGGAGATGCAAAGATTCAAAACCCCTTTCCTTTTCCCCTTTTAAATATATACGGGAATATTTCTTCCTAAATTTCATTTTTCCTAGGGATTCTCAAAATATAGTTTTTGTTTGTGTGTTGTGTGTGTATTTTGTGTTCATTGTAATTAGAATCCGACCATGATCTTAGCCTTTGTTTTTTTCGTGTCTATGTGAATTTGATAATTCCTTTGTATGTTCTTTTTCACATGCTACAAGAGAATCGTCCGAAGTATCCCAAAAGAGAGGTGGAAGATACCAAAGTTATAATCAAACATAAGTAGACGAAAAGTTGACAACGCCATGGTAAAACGAAAAACTACCCTTAGACAAACAACAGTATACAAAACACTGCATAGAAAACTTAAGACCGAGCACCAAGAACCCCATCAAAAACCGGGAGTAATCTCTGGTTCTCCTAAATATCGAGGAAGTGGTCCCCGTCCTGTTTCTCTGTTGTAGGATGGAAATCATTTAACATGTTTCTCTAAATAAAGAATTATCGTTAAATATTCGTCAGTGGACGTCACACAAACAATCAATGAATAAGTCAATATGAAATATGCATCTTTTTACGTAATACAAACTCTTAATTATTAAGTAATGAACCATTCCAACGATCAATAAACCAATCAATCAACCACAACACACAGCGACCAACCAACCCATCGATATGTGAAACTTGTCATTTGGTGTAATGCAAACACATTTTATCAACCAACCAACCGAGCAATCAACCAAACATTATGTTTAACTTAGATAATATGGAATGACATTAAAAACCAATTTGTTTTGCTAAAACAGCCTTTTCCTACAACACCTATTTGCTAAAACGATTATTAAATATTTTTTTTAATGCAATATTTCAAAGCTGATAATGTACTGCTAATTATGAAAGTCATACTTTTGAGATAATCCCTTATTCAAATGTCTCAACTCTAGACTCTCGACTCTCACTTGTCAATTTTAAACATGTAACTTACATGTCTAATATCAAGATCCAATTTTAAATTTTAAAAAACGAACCATGAGTAAAATTGATTCAACGATAAACGTGTTGACTTAAAGCGCTATTCATATTTGTTTATATGTGACCTTGGCTTTTCCTAAGCATATATTTAAATAAATTTGTGAGTATTTCATTTATTTAAAAGGTTTGTTTAATGAAGTATTCATCCACATGATTTCAAGGGTGTGGCGTAGAGAAATTGACAGCATATTTTAACCTTATCTTTGCCATACAAAGCTGGTAACTATGGAATAAGCCTTTGACTGACGGATGGACCTATATGCAGTAATTATAACTACGAATGTGTATAAAAAAAATGCTTTAAATTCTATAAAGTGCGGTGGGATTTATTACAAGGTAATTTTATATGTGACACGGTTTATTTGACTGTAATGAGCAGTTATAGACACCACAGCAACACAAATAACTATAATGAAATGAGAGCGAAGGAAAATAAAAATGTACGAGCCAATAACATGTTGATGTGTTAAAATAGCCGATAGTGAATATTTTTCTCGATGTTATCAATTTACACTTATGGATAATAAGAAAATGGCTGAGAGTTCGAGATCTAAGCATGAGGTGAGGTCATCTAGAATTAAAGCTGCACGTGTTCAATATGCCCCCGAGGGCAGACGAGGCAATGTTTATATAGATGATGAAGATATGCTTTCTAGTGAAAAAGGAATCAAAAATCATAGAGATGTTAGAAGACCAAGATCCGAAGAACTAGTAAAGTATGTTAAAATGCCAGAATCTGAAGAAAAAATTGTAAAATACGTTACTAGGAATAACTACCGAGACAGGAAACCTATTGGGTATGTTACAAAAGAACCAGCAGCTGATGAAAAGACTTTCCAAAGGCTAAAATATTATGACACCCGAAAGGAATATGTAGTTCAGCGTGAGTCAACACGCGACGTCCATTGTCAGATAACATCAAAGTACGAGATACAACGACCGCCAACGCGCGACGTCCATTGTCAGATGACATCAAAGTACGTGATACAACGACCACCAACACGCGACGTCCCTTGTCAGGTGACCTCAAAGTACGAGATAAAACGACCGCCAACGCGCAACGTCCATTGTCAGACTATAATAAACAATTTTCGTGATGTGGCATGTCAAAGTTGTGCAACGCCACCTACTCCGACTCCACCTACACCAACTCCACCACCACCACCTACACCGACTCCACCACCACCACCTACACCGACTCCAGCACCGCAACCTACTAAAAAGGTAATTATTCGAAGTCTTATTTGACACAAAATTTCGAAAAAAGTCTTTATGAAGAGTACTTTCATTCATATTTTAAAGAATACAAACAACAAACTGATGCGGATCAAACATTACTTAGTCTCGTTTTCTAACGTCGTCCGCTATTACATGATTTCGCATTAAATGAATCTATTCAATATTTTCGGGCTTGTATTTTCATTTTCTGTATTTTAAAAAAAACGAAAACTGTAAACCACTTTAAAAAATAAGGGAAAAAAGACAGGGCAAGTAAATACATGTTTTATCACCGTAAGTTATATGTTGCAGGACCATTTTCGAGTTGTTTGATTCTACAACTGTTGTAACTGATATAAACTGACCTTTGAGGCAATGAAATGTTTACTTTTTTGTACACCTCAGGGTGAACGCTATAAAGATGGGTAAAGTACATAAGTCATTTCGGGACTAACGAGTATTCTGTCCAAAAATTACTTTTCCTTTATTTCTAAACTTTTAGTAAAGGAAGTTTCAAATGGTAGGAAAAAATAGTTAAAGGTATTTTTCTTGTAGATTTTCTTTCCATATAACACTCGTAACATTATGCCATTGTTTACTTAGCAAAACATTAATTAGCCCATTAACATAATAATAAATTGGCATTATACAAAATGATACACATTAATGTGAACAACCGAGTATTCTTTCATGGCACGTTAATAATAGAAACTTTTTACATTTCTTGGTATGATTTACAAAGCAATGGATATGGATAATATCTACAACAAAGATTGATTTTATTGGGGTTAACATTTCTTGGTTTTGTCTATTAACTTTATTTCATAGGGGTTAATTTTCATGGTTTCAATTTTGTGAAAGTATTAATCTTTGGAGGTGAAAATTTCGACAGGGTTTTAAATTCGAGGTTAATATTGATCCACGAAATATACGAAATATAAACCCAACAAAACTTTCTGATTTAATATATAAATCAACTGCTTAATTTTTTTTTATATATCAAACAAAGATTCGCGTGCAATATTGTCAAATTGTGGTATAATCACGGTTCAAAGAAATTGATAATCACAACAGTTTATGCTGAGTGTAAAACTTTATTTCTTTTCTTCCATCTTTAAAAGCAATTTAATTTGTAGGACCAGTTAGTTTATTGTATAGATTTGAGACCACCTACAGAAATAATAGAGCCGAAACCATTTAATGTATTTAAACGTTGTATCGTACCTCAACCGAAGGTAAGAAATCGAAAAAGATGTGAGACAAATACCAAAATTACAAATTCAAATAAGATATAAAAAACAGCATTTAAATAGAATCATGAAACAACGACTAAATTAATTTCTAAATACGAATAAAAAGAAACTAACACTATTCTTTATGAGATATCTGTGACTCAGATGACCACAGGTATGCCCCAACTGTCGTACATGAAGCAACAATCTCATCCGGTTACCTCGATTGTAGCATCATCGAATGTAACTCATCACTTAGTACTTTTCATAGACATAATTAGTTAAGCACGATCTGCTCACCCTTCGAGAGCACCTGAGATTACCCGCAGTTTTATGTGGGGTTCAATTTGCTCAGTCGTAGTTCTCATTTTGCAGATCAGGCCGGCTCGTTATTACTAGTAAAGCAATTTGATCTAAACAGATCTTGCTATTCAGTGTGAGCCAAGGCTCGGTGTTGAAGACCGTACTTTGACCTATAATGGTTTACTTTTATAAATTTTGACTTGGATGGATAGTTGTCTCATTGGCACTCATACCACATCTTCTTATATCTACTTAAAAGACTGAACAATAAGTAAGTAAGACAATTTCAGTCTTTCGGTAATTTTTGAAACTTATCTACTGCGGTAAATTCAGTACTGTTCAGATATTTCGCTGGCAGTCAATTAAGATCTGTTCAGTCTGTATACAGAATGTGGAATAATTGTTATTTACCTGTACACAACAACAACATACTGAATTGTCTGAAAAGCTACTGAAAAACGTAACTTATTGTCTGTAATCGAATTTTCTGAACAGTACTATATATTTCGCAGTGGATAGTTTTTTTGGCTATATTATAATTTCCTTTTCTCCAAATCATGGTTATTTTTGTACTCTTTGTATCTACTGCCTACTTTTTTCTAAATAATTGTATGTTATATGAGTCGTGATGATTTTTTCTCTCGTTCCGGTTGTGTTATGCTGTTTCAATTCTCCTCTTGTCTGTGTCATCTAATTGTATCCCTAATACGACAGTTAAAATGTCTTTCTAATTTTTTACGATCAATAATACAAACCTTTCTAAAAGACAAAAACTTAAAGCATTTTACCAGTCCCCACTTCACGTTACGATACACTGATGGTGACCTTCTGAACCTATTAATCTATATATATTGCGTCTCATTTATCGAATCTAGTTTGCCATAATGGGTACTGCCGAAGCCAGAAAGTGTTTTTTTCTCGAATTTGGCTGTCTATGGCTTATATGATGTAATACAATGATGTAATATAAAACACTAAATATCAAATCCAGAAAAAATTTAAAAATCCTTTCTAATTGACAAATGATTTGTTAAAGCTTACTCTGCCTCTGATGTATATTTTACATAAACGATCTATAAATCAGTCTCTAAATGCAAAACAAAGTGTCAAAAAAATATTATTTTAGTTTTATAAAAAAAAAAACATTTAGACTATCGCTTTTATCTTTGACGGCATTACGATTATTAATATTTTCAGTCATTATTTCAGAAAAAAAATGACGATTATATAGTCACGGTTGGTGGAGGATGGAATAAAATGAACGACTATATGGAAAGACATGATCCTGTGAAGAGATTCGTTTACGAAAGACAGCAATTGAAAAACTCCAATTTACCGGAAAAAAAGAAAAAGTACTATGGATTCAAATCAATTTATAAGTCACCTCAATATAAAAGGGCATATCGTTTTTAAGAATTAAAATATTTTTCAGGATATTAGATAAATGACATACATTTGTGTAAAGTTAAATACGGATTTTATTGTTTATAGTCTAATATCTAGATTGCTGCTTATTAGTCTCCTATTATTCCATATAAGCTGTGTCCACCGTCTCAGAACAAGCATACTTAAAATGATATTTTTATATTAAAAATGTTTATTTCATAAATATGTATTTGAATTAAGAGTTCAATTCTAAGTTGATCATATATGGTTTAATATGTTCTGGTGTGATCTGTTTTTTGCATTTTATGCTCCCAGATATTCAATTTAATTAACAGTTATTCCTCTTTCTGGAGAAATGCTTATTGTAAGTTAATGTTATCTATAAAAAAAAGTCAAGCACTGATCATATTAGACACCACAAACCTGTAGGCGAGACATTTAGTTTCAGTGTTTCATATGCGAGCTTTGTTGTGAGTTTTTAATCTTTGAAATAAAATTGTAAAGTCCTTTCTCGAGGTAAATGTATTTCACCAACAATTTTCACACTATAAAAATACTATGAAAGAAGGCTTTGGTGATCTTTCTGATGATCTTTTAACAATGTTCATTATATGCAAATTAAAACGTTTTCTACAATGGTAAACATCAGAAGAGCAATACAAATGGGTAAGAAATATTATAAATAAAGAATGCAAATTGGCATGCTGATAAGGACCTAAAAATGTTTTAGATGCGAAAAATTAATACGTCAATTGCCCATTTTCCCCCAGATAATTACAAAGACGGATTCTGTTATATATATTTTAGATACAATATACTGCATCAATTGCGATAAAAATCAAAATTAAGAATAAGGAGGACAATAAGCAACTGACACAAATCAAAGACGGAAAGTAACCACACTACACCGACAGTAGCTGTAATGACTGTGACAGATTAGTTTGTCTACAGAAAAGCGCTTTGGACACATAAAATTTATTAAGTGTTGTTTTAATTTATACATTATTGAGTTGATTTCGCTGCTGGTGGACTGTAAGTCCCCGCGGGTATCATCAGCTCAGTAATCAGTACTTCGGTACCGACATGATAATAGCAATTATTTTTTAAATTGTCTGTTGATAGATTTAGAACTCTCTTATTTCTGCGTCACACTATCCCTAAACGGACACACAATAAAGGAAATTTTCGGATCTGATCGTAAAAACATCGGGCTATTCGTGAGGGCATCTTAAGGCCATTATATGACCGCCGGTTGAGCTTTTATATATAGTGCGTATTAATCAAAGATCCTATAAGATTTTCAAATTGAACAAGAGAAGCTAACTTCTTACAGATTCCGCTTCAAATTAAATTGTTTTCCAAATCCCCTAGATCCAAACATTTCGTCCAACGGCATGTAGTTTCAGGATAGAATATATTTGTAAGAGATCAATCAGAATCCCTTTTTGTATGTTGATTTGAATTTTTACGAGTTTCAACATTTGTCAGCTTCCTATGTTTACCGTGTTAACAACAAATTTAATCAAGAATACCCTGATTATTTTTACGTCATTTGTTTCATTATCTACTGACATTATTTGTAATCCTTTCACATTAAAAAACAGAGTTTGTTTAGTAAATTTCAATGCACAATTTACTAGTATAAAGCATATTTATCAAATGTTAGAATAAAGAAGTGTAATTATATGCATTTAAACAACTTAACAATCTAAAAACGTTTTCAATCGGATAAAATTTCCATTAAACATTTCAAAAGAATCCATGTAAGAACAATACAATGCAAACCTTCAAATGCACGTATACATGAAGTTAAACAAACAGGCTATCAGATTTGTATATTTAACTGGTATATTTTTCAAATTCACGTCTAGGTCTACTACCTATTTAGACACTTATTGAATTTACATATTATCGATGACTTGTATTTCATCAAAACATTTGCTAATGGAAATCCCTATTCTTCTAGAGTATCTGATATCAAACCAAGTTAGAGTATTCATTTTCCCAAAACCTATTGTTTTCATACTTCATGTATACCCTAGATACTTTAATGAAAACTGATATTAAGGTAATGTCAGAAAAATATCTCTCTTTCATATAACACATGCTAATAATTGACAATAAATTGCTATTGATATAGTTTATGATCAGAATATTGAATTTAGTTAAATTTTACCGCAAAAAATATCTTCAACAACAATTGCATTATCTTTGTAAACGAAAATATTGATGATAATGTACAATGAGTAGTCGATTGTTCGTATATTCGCCAGAAATACCATAGTACTCAATACTCGTTAGTAATCAAGTGATAAGATAAATTCAAAAGATGCAAACTCGAGTGTTCACAAAAAACACCATAGCAACTAAAGAAAACATTGAAATACAAGTCTTTTATCTCACTTTTACTATAGTGTCATGTTTACTTTTTGCACAATGAGAAAACAGAATCCAAAATTGTCTTTTCTGGTCATGTTTTTAATCCGATAAGAACCAAATAAGAACTATTTGTAGAAGATTTTTCATACATTTGTCCTACAAAATTGACCAAGTTTGGTTAAATCTGGACAAAGCTTCAAACGAGGTGATTAGAAGAACAAAATGAATAAGTTTTTTTCCATAAGGTTTCAAGGACATTCCATAGTATTAATCCTACCAAGTTTGGTTCAGATGCGACGGTTCGTTTCGAATTCATATGAGAAACGGAAATTTCATTTTTTTTTAAACTACAGACTCAAAGTCGGTAATAGAAGACAGAAAAGATTTAACTAGAAACAGAACGAATACACATGAAGATTTTGTTCAAGGAAGGATTACGTACGCTATGGAAAAAGACAATTACAAAGAATCCAATGTCAGGGAAAAGGATGAGATAAGGCAAATGCAGAAATCGCCAAAACATTACACGATAATAAACAAAATCAAACATCGACGAAAAATCAAACCCCTTGACAACATTTACCTCAAAACACATACGAAAGTATTGTCTTTGTTGAATTAAAGAAGCCAACTTATATTCATTCGAACAAATATTTCATTATAAGATACGATTCTGATCATGATGAAAATGAAGTTAAGCCACGAAAATTCTCTCAATATAATCCGTTTCTTGACAACGTAAATGAAATGAAAAATGGAAAATGTTATCGCACAAATTCCGTCGGACATCAATAATATTACATGTATATATTAGGTGCATTATACTACACCTATTGCGATAAAAAAAAATAAGGGTACAATATGCAACTGACACAAATAAAAAAAACATATATTTGCATTTCTTAATTGATTTTTTAAACAGCAACAGTATGTAAAGATCAATGCTAGAACTCAAATACAAATTGTATGCTCGTATACTCCCATAATATGTTTAGCTGTAATCTTTTTTATATTATATTAACGTTTTACTAATACATCTAATATTGTTAATATTGTGTATGCAGTGAAATCGCCTACACAACAACGGCTGTAAATGTAATAACTGTGACTGATAAGATCGTCTTCACGTTTTCTGGAACGTCAAACTTTCCAACAGCTGATGGGCATTATCTTATCATTATGACACCTGATATGATCAATTCCCCTGTTTTCCAATTACTTTACAAAAGAGCAGAAGTAGCCTTAAATATCAAACATTGAGAACTAATCGTAATATATATATTGCATGCATTGGTCGTTAAATCAATATAAACTCGAGACTCAAAGAAGCCCGTATTTGTGCATAATATTCATCAATTGTGTAGTGAGATTTTTAACATTTAAGAATGTTCACTGATCTGGTTATTGTTTTTTTGTCAGATATTCGGAATTCTTCGGTTTTATCCATGTAGAAACATTAAACATTTTGTCTGTTAACCCCTATTTTTCTTTCAAAAATTTTATGACATGTGCTTTAAAAGCCATTTTTTAATATCTCATGAAATCTTTTTTATTTTTTCGTAGTGTTTCAAAGAAAAAAAGTATCAAATTTGAATGTATGAGAATCATTTCCCACCAAATTTTCGATGGCTTATATCGCAAAACAAGCACACAGACTTTTCTCTTTTTTTTGCATTTTTAGTTCCATTTTGATTTGCAATTAATTTATGACAGTCCTTTAAAACGCGTGCTATTTTGAAACCAAGCAGCCAACATCCTTACCAAGAAAAGATGGCACCGGATTGCTGTATTTTCACTTATCACCTAGATTCAAAACATTTCACAATGTAGTTTCAGAGGAGAAGATGTTTGCATATTTCATGTATTTAGAAAGAGAAATTTTTACTATGAATGTAATATAATAGGTAAGTTTTGCAGTGCATGTCGATGATGATATAGGACAAGAAAATTAATATTGCCACTTGACGATGAAGACATGTTAGATAGGTGATAATTTTTGCTATCTACGGACTCCAAAAGGGTAGTTGCAAGGGTTTCTTTAACGAGTATATAGCACATTAAACATGTTAAAATAAAATGATTGTTTATAGATGCAATTTCGTCTACCTGATGTTCAGTTCGGTACTGTTTTCTGATAACAACATGACAACAATAATAAGACTGACAGCTTTAAAGAAATATGACTGATTAAAGGTGCAATTTTGTGTAGATTTGTATGTGTTATTGTCAGAGATGCCTATTTTGATTTTATTAATTAGATTGAAAAGGCCGACCGTGTGGACCCTCATGGGTATTCAAGGTTGTTATATACCCCCGTTCTGATTGAATATTAGTTACAAAAATTGTATAAGAAAGTTATTAAATGAATAAATTAAAGATATCATATACTATTTCAAAAAGACATTACTAACCGGAATTTGTTTACCTTCAACACCATGTTTTAAACCCGTGAGACGGAGTCGACTGGAGTTGTTTCAATACAAAATGTTTAGTACAATTAGTTTAATATCTTTAATTTCCTATGTGATAATCTAATAGAAATGACTGTATTGTTTAATGATCGTAAAGTGCACCGAAGAAGGTCTTCGTTTCCCTTTTTTTTTCTTTTAGTTTCCAGTGAAATTGTGGAAAGAGAACTGAAATATTAATATGATTGCCTATCACTGTATCATTGAGGTATTCATGGGAAACACTAAAGTGTTCACGCATTTACTTGAATATCCCGTAAGATAAATTGATAGTACAATTCATTTATTTAAATTTGGAATGGAAGCCACGCTGCATATGTAATTTCTTTCTCGTTCACGATAGTACATAAGATCTCATTTGATAAGTGTCTGCTGTCGTTGACAAATGCCTAAAATGAAAAAGACAGAACATATAATATGAATAACTAGTTCTTAGATTTAAAAATAAGTATATGATTGACAGGATATGTGATAAACATGTCTTTGGGCGACAACCCAATAAAACAAAAAAAAAAAACAATAAAATCATTTCAAGGTCAACATATGATATTTAACAGTAGAAAAGTGTCAATAGCATAAGTCAAGCTCTAAATCATTTGATTCTAGACAAAATGGGAATATCTTCCCTAGTATAGTTAATAGTTTGACA